CCTCCGTACCTCTGCACTTTACTTCCGCACCTCCTCTGAGTCTCAGTGTGCTTTTCTCTTTCCTTCTAGTTGTAGAATTTCCACTCAGCCAGCCTTCCTGTGGTTCTGGATGATGTCCGTTTTGTCTTTTAGTTGTATTTTTGAATTTATTGTGGGAGGCAGCAATTTCAGGTGTTTACCTATGCCGCCATCTTGGCTTCTCCTCTCTGGAACTTTTTTATATATTTAGGTGTACCTGTATTGGGTGCATATGTTTACCGGGGTTATATCCTCTTGTTGGATCGATCCCTTTAGTATTATGTAGTGACCTTTGTTGTCTCTTTTATTGGCCTTCCTTTTGAAATCTATTTTGTCAGATGTGATTACTGCTACTCCAGCTTTTTTCCTTTTCTTTTCCATTTGCATGGAAAGTTTATTTCCATTCCTTCACAGTCATCCTGTGTGATTGTTTTGTTATGATGTGGGTCTCTTTTAGGCAGCTTATAGATGGATCATGTTTTTGTATCCGTTCAGCTACCCTATGCCTTTTGATTGAAGCATTTAATCCATTTACATTTAAGGTTACTGTTGATAGGTACTTGTTTATAGCCATTTTATTTTTGTCTGCCTAGGTTTCTCTCTATTTCTTTTTCTCATTACAGTAGTCTCTTTAGTATTTCTTGTAATGCTGGCTTGGTGTTGGTGTACTCCTTTAGCCTTTTTGTGTCCAGAAAGCTCTTTATTTGACCATCTATTTTGAATGATACCCTTGCTGGATATAGTAATCTTGGTTTCAGATCCTTGCTTTCCATTACCTTGATTACTTCATGCCATTCCCTTCTGGCCTATAGAATTTCTGATGAGAAATCAGGTGTCAGCCTCATGGGAGATCCTTTGTAGGTAACAGTTTGCTTTTCTCTTGTTGCCTTTTAGATTCTATCTTTGTCTTTAATTTTTGGCATTTTAATTATGATGTGTCTGGGCATGGGCCTGTTTGGGTTCTTCTTGCTTGGGGTTCTCTGTGCCTCCTGAACTTGTCTGACTTTTTCCTTTACCAGATTAAGGAAGTTTTCTGCCATTATTTCTTTAAGCATGTTCTCTATTCCTTTATCCCTTCCTGCCTCTTATGGTATACCTGCTATTCAAATATTGTCATAAAAGGATCTTGTAAGTGTTCCTCTTGGATTTTTTGGAATAGTTAGAGAAGGATAGGTGTTAGTTCTTCTTTGAATGTCTGGTAAAACTCCCCTGTGAAGCCATCCGGACCCAGGGTTTTGTTTGCTGGGAGTTTCTTAATTACTGCTTCTATTTCAGCAGTTGTTATCATGTTGTCCGCAGCTCCCTTAAGCTGTCCTCATGTTTTTTTAATTGTTTTTTTCTTTTTGGTTGTCTGATTGAGTGATTTTTTTCAACCCTGTCTTGTAATTCACTGATTTTATCCTCAGCTCCTCTAATCTGCTGTGTATTCCTTCCAGTGTGTTCTTTATTTGTGCTATGTCATTCTTTATTTCTGTTTTCCTAGTTTGTATATCTTTTCTCATGCTATTGAGCAACTTTAACATCATTATCATGAATTCTGTATCAGATCAATTTCTTATCTTATTTCATTTATTTCTTCTGGAGAATGCTCTTGTTCTTTCATTTGGGGGTTGTTTCTTTGTCTCCTCATTTTGGCTGTCAGTTTGGGTTTGTGACTATGTATTAGGTAGATCTGCTACACCTCTCAATCTCTAGTGCAGCACAGTGTCAAACATTGTTTCTGACTAGATAAGGCAAAGATTCAAAGCCTCCAGAGACCACCTCTGATGACAGATGGTTAGGATTTTTTCTTGAATTGCCCTCAGGTAATCCTCCACAGGTATAGAAACAGTTTTTTTCAACAGGGTGGGCCAGTTGCTTCTTCTTGGAGGCTAATTGTTATTCTCAGTTTTGTAATGGGCCTGAGCAACTCTGCACAGTGGGCAAAGTGTTTTCCAATAGGGTGGATCAGGTATCTTTCCCCCAGGCAAGGTCGCTTGTATAGCAAATGTCTACTTTCGAAAGATGACCTCCGCAGCATGCCTTCTGAGTTGTAACCCCAGAGCCCCCGATCCTGGCTTCTGCTCACACAACTTCATTCCACTCTGCCCTCGCACTGCTGGAGCACAAGATGAGTGGCTCTACAGGGAATTATGTGCATTGGCCCTTTAAGAAGGTACGTGAGTTTCCAGCCATCTCTCCCTAGCAGACAGCAACCCCACTGCTTTTCACAGCCTAATGTTATGTGTGTACTCTTCTGAGTTTTGATGTTCTCTGCTGGGGGGACCAGCTTGGGGATTAGACCCCAAAAATTCTCATTGGCAACCCCCCAAAGTTGAGATATTTCTCCAGAGCTTCAGTTGCTATCTGAGTGATCCCAGCCGGCCCTTTCACACCTCAGCCCTTCCTACCAGTCATTATGCAGTCTCTATTTTCTGTCCTTGGTATTCAGGGTTCTCTCCACTGAGTCTTCCATTGATTATTCACGAAGTTTTTCTATATTTTAGTTGTGATTCCAGTTTGGTCCTGGGAGTGTGTCCATGTAGCATCCACTTACTCCACCACCATTTTTAATCTCCAGGACTTTTGTTTGCTGGAAGTTTTATGGTTATTGCTTAAATTTCATTAATTTTTATTGGTCTATTCAAGTTTTCTGATTCTTCCTGATTGAGTTTTGGATGATGGTATGCTTTAGGAATTTTTCCATTTAACCCAGGTTGGCCAATTAGTTGGCATATAGCTGTTCATAGTATTTTCTTACAATGCTTTTTATTTCTGTGGTGTCAATTCTTCTCGTCTTTTCTTTTCTTTTTTAATATATTTTTTATTGATTTCAGAGAGGAAGGGAGAGG